AAAAAAAAAAAAAAAAAAAAAAAAAAAAAAAAAGAATGATGTTAGTTTAGATGTACCAAATAATAATGAAATAAAAGAAGTACATATATTTTACGAAGACTATTGAGAAGTTATTTTATTTAATTTGCATATCAAATACCGAAAAATAAGTAAGATTATTATTTATTTTTCAAGATTATTCTCCAAACCTAATTAGCATGTCTTGGAGATCAAAATGAGAAGGCAACTTATGGCTATCAGTGGTGCAATGACGACGCCGGGCTATTTTGGAAATAACTCAACCTCAAAAAATTAGGTGAAAATTGTCCAAAATCATACAATTTAAACAACGGCTCATTCCGTCAACCTATATGGGACAATCTAACAGCTCTCTCATCTCCAGCTCTAGTAAACTGGAGCATGAATAAATAAAAAATGATTCCTACTCTAATATCATATTAAGGAAATGAAATTAGTCATAACTTAACCTTAAACCCCCGATGGGTCATTGGCTTCATTTTTTCAAAAGAATTTGAAAAACAATGTTTGATTATGAAATATGATCATCTTTTAGGAAAAAAAAATTCAAAAATTTTCTTGTTGCCAAAAACAGATTTAGGGCAGTTAAATCAATTTTTGGTCGAAAGTTTTTTTTCACTTACAAAACTTTAATTTTTCTTCAAATAAAATATATGTCTAAATACAACTTCAATTTTTAAAAATTATATTTCAAACAACTTCAACTTTAAAAAATTATTTCCTAAAAAAATAAAGAGAAAGAAAGAGAGAAAAAAGAAGAAGAAGAAGAAGAGAGATAGTCGGCTCGGCGTCTCCCATTGCACCACCAACAACTATGTTGCAAATATAAGAAGTGTTATTAGAACTGAACCAAATCTTGAATGAAGAGGTTGATGGTTAGAACTTAGAACTCAAGAACTCTCTTTGCCTTTATATAGGAAAACTTTACTGCATTATATTTCTTTTCCTTTTTAAATAGTGCAAGATTCTTTTTAATAAGGACTTTACCATTATAAATGAACTAGATATTTATGAAAACTCACCTACCTACGCAAAACATATTAGTATTATCAATCGGACGATGACTGACATTGCAGTTTAATTATGCCAAAATACCTTAAAACCCCCTAGACTTGGCACGTATTATTATTGGTTATATTCTTGAACTATCTGTGGTCTTAATTACCTCAGTGATAGACCCAGAATTTTATGCAAGCGGGTTCAATCTTACAAGTACATAACTTTAGTCGTAAAATAGTAGTTGTCAAGTGGGTTCAAATAAAATATTTATACAAAATATATGCAGCTTTAATCGTAATCTATACATATACACAATATTATTTTTTGACGAAGCGGGTTCAGTTAAACCCGCTTTTCACCATGTGCGTCCGCCACTGATTACCCCCTATACTTGGTTATTCGATAGCTATTACCCCTTGGACGATCTCATCCTAGAAAAGTGGCATGCACTCGCCTGCCACGTGGATTTTCCTGTCCATGTGGCATTTTTTTGAAAAGAAAATATAATTTATACCTTTCTAAGTGTGTTAATTTTTTAGATAATCTTTTTCGAATAAGTATAATAAAACTTGGCTAGAATTACATTATTTAGGCTAATGATTTTTATTTGGCTAAAAATAATAAAGTTTTAATTATTATTTCTTGAATTTGACCTGAAAATAAAGATTTATACAGTTAAAATAAATAGTCAAGGCATCTAAAAAGATATAAAAAATACATAGTTTGATTTTTATTATTTTGGCCATAATTTTTTATATAGCTCTAAATTATGGAGCTCTAAAATATATAATTTTTACAGATATTACCAAAAAAATTAAAAATACACAATTGAAATAAATAGTCATTGCATCAAAAAAAAGAAATAAAAAAAGTGTACAATTGCAAGTTCATTATTTTGGCTATACCTTTTTATTTTGGTAAAAACTAATGGAGTTGTAGCCATTTTGTTTTACTGATTTGACTCGAAAATAAAAACACACAATTAAAATAAATAGACATTATATCTAAAGAAACAAATAACAGAAAATACACAAGTAGTACTCCATTCTTTTGGCTAAAAAATTTCTATTTGGCTAAAATAATGGAGTTTCAACCAAACTTTTACAAATGTGGCCTAAAACAAAAAAGAAGAAATATGCAGTTGGAATAAATATACATTATATCTATAGAAGAAATTAAAAAGAATAAAAGTTAGAGTAAAGTCCACATTATATGTTAAGATGAAGCAAGAAGAAAAATATAGTTGTAACAAATAAATCATTATATATGACTATATGACAATTAAAAGTTAAAAAATAACTTACTTGGAAGCTGATTTTTCAATTTTTCTTTACTCTCACGCGCTTAAAAGAGAGTGTACCCATACTCCTCACCACATCAGCGTCCAGGGAGGTAATTTCTCTTAAAAGGCCAAGTTCAAGAGGTAATTAAGATCACAAATAATTTAGGGGTATAACTAATAATCCATATAAGTTTAGGGTGATTTTTATTTATTCCGCCTATAATCATTGCAAGTCAACTCTATTTTATATCACGTACTTTGATGCAATTTCAATCTCACTAATGTGGAACTCAAGACATTATTATCCGTACCCGATATTTTTATACTAAACATACGAGCGCAGTGTTTTGCGTATAAATTTTGATCACTTAACCAATGTTTAAATGATCTAATGTACATTCCTATCAATTTAACCTAGTGACTCAAGATTAAATTGCTTGATTTTTTTATTTATTTTGACAACGGGTATAGTTAAATATTTTTCCTCAAAAGTACGTGTACCTCTAGAACGAAAAAAAAAAAAAAAAAACCTCTATCATTAAATTAGAACACAATTCACTACGTGGATGATGATTAGGTTTCCTTTAGTTGGTGGTCAATATTTTGGACAATTATTTTACATGATATATTGATTTTATCTGGAGGGCATAATCTGATAATATTATTCACTTTTTGGTTCTTGATTCTTCCACAAATGAATTTGATTCCTCTTTACAAAATAGTATTGGAAAAAGTTTGTGTTCCTTTGCTCGTTGCTAGTCCTTATCCAAGAAAGAATCTCTGTAACTGCTGATGGTAAATCTTTTCCACATATATTGTTGTTATTACTTTTTTTTCCGAAAGAGATAGATTTAAAAGGAATTCCCCATTAAAGCTGTCTTTATCCTAGCTTTTAACTTTTTCCAACAGTTAATTAGTTTAGGCACCATTTATCAACCTTCTTTTAGGCTAGACATTATCTTCTAGTTTTGTAAACTAGTTATGGCCATCTTCTTTGAAAAGATTAGACCACTTTTTTTTGGCATAGTATAATTCAATGAGGCAGATGATTATGCTCATTCCTAGTGAGCAAATATGGCCATAACATCTCATTTGAATAGAAGCTACTGAAATCTTTATTTGAAGACACTGATTTATTATTAATGATTTAAAGGATAAAATTCAAGTAAATCCACCTTTTAGCTCCTATAATTAAAAAATAGCTATTATAATGAGTTTCAAATTTAGCCAATGAAATTTCAGAATATTGTCATGTAATTGAGACTACGGCCCTGTTTGTCCATAAAAAAATTTCTTTTTTCAAAAAAAAAATTAAAAATATGTTTATCCATGAAATTTTATATATTTTTTGAAATTTTTTGAAAATGAGTTTTTCAAAAATCAAATTCAAAATTTTCTAAAAAACTTTTTTCCCCACTCACAAAACTGTAATATTTTTTTAAGTAAAATATATGTCCAAACTTAATTTCAAACTCCAAATATTATTTTTCAACGTAACTCCAAATACTATTTTTTTCATAAACTACAATGTTTACGTCCAAACGCCTACTACGTGTAAGTACCTCTCTCACATAAGTGTCTAAGCTACGTGTCCTTTCTTTAGCAAACTTCTTTAAGTTGTTGGATAGCACAAGCAAAAGAGGGTAGAGTTGAATAAGCAACTCCCATACACCAATAAGACTTGCTGTAGAATGGTAAGTATTTCATCTTTAATTAAAAAATTTGGGTTCGAATCTTCAATATAAATTTGTTACTTTTATTAGGAAGTATTTTATCTTTAATGTAAAAAATTTCGATGCAAATCTGAATTCAATCGGATCTCAATACAAATTTCTAATATCGGATGAGAAACTAAAAAATAAAACTACTATGTGAGTCTTTGAGGCCGTAAGAGAAAAATGATACTCTCCTCAATCCATTTTAATTAATTTTTTGATATTTTATTTGGTCCATAATATTTGATTTTTTTCCATATATCAAGAAGGAATTAACTTCATTTTTTCAAAGTTGACCTTAGATTAAAGAGCCTATGAGTATTTATTATATTTTTAATGAACAAATTAATGTTAATATGGTTAATTTTATCGTTAATTAATGCTAAAAGATGAATTTTTTAATATATGTAAAACAACCAAAAAATCAATTAAAATAGACGAGAGGGAGTATTGCTAAGAGCCAATTGACCCCTTTATTTGTTTATCGGGAAGAGATTTTTCAGCAAGGGATTATTCATCAATCTCCGGTACTAGATAAAAAATTAAATTAGCAACATAGAGCATCATTATTAGCATAATCTCTCGTATTAGACCTCATTTATTTACACTTAATAAATATCTGAATCTTAATCATTTAGTCACGAGGTCTGTTTGTTTTTATGAGTCAAAATTTTAGTCATTTAAATATTAATCATTAACTGTACTTTTTTTTTTTTACAACTACTTAATATATAAGTCTGAATAAATTTGAACGAATAAAATCGATAACAAAATCTTAATATCATTACATTGTTATCTATTCAAGAATATATGGGTAAGTTGTGGCCAAAGGGTCAAAGCATTTATTTCCGCTTAATTGTGAAATGTATTTTGATCTTTAAACTTCAATTGTGTAATTATTTTGGATAATTATCATTAGATAGTTCGCTCGATGTGAGTTGAAGCTTCGTAGTTAAAGTGTCATACATTGTGCACAGTAAGTATGGGACTTTTTTGATTAGATAACAGTAGGGGTATTCATAAAACCCCGAAAAATCAAACCAAATCGAAAATCGAACCAAATCGACCAAAAAAATCGATATTTTTAGGTTTGGTTTGATTTTGGTTTTAAATTTTAAAAACCTATCAAATTTGGTTTGGTTTTGGTTTTAATCAAAATATAACCGAAAAAACTGAATCAAACCGACTATAAAAGTAGCTATATATATATATATATATATATAAAGTTTCTAAAATTTTATGGTACATATTAGTCATTTGTATTTTTAGTCTAGGTCTTTGCTATTATAATAATCTAATTCTTTGCCTTCTAGTTTGATTGATAGTTTTCTTTTACTAAGTACAAGAATTTATTTCATGTTAAAAATAATCAATTTTTAATTGAGTAATTAAGTTATTCATCACTATTTGAGTCAATTATCATCAATATATCTTGGTAAATGATAGATTTCTCAAAGAGCAATTAGTTTGATAGCGTTACGTTAAAAATGTAGTCGCCGAAATATGCGTTTGGTAGTGTATGTCTTATATTTAAAAAAAATACAAATAACTGAAAAATCGACAAATACCGAATCAATAAACAACCGACTTAATTGATTTGTTTTAGTCCAATATTTGAAAAATCCCTGAGAATACTTTTCGGTTTTGGACTACATGGGGACTCAATTGATTTCGCACACCAACACGTCAGAGACGTTCCAATGAATTAGACTAGTGTCCATACAGTCACTACCACGTGTTGCTAATATGGTTATTATTTGCAGCGGCTAATATATGATGTATTCATTTATATATTTAAGTTTGATTAGGTATATAGTTTAACAAAAGCTAACCTAAGTGATTTGCTAACAGACCACAACAAAGTTTTTCCTCATCTTAATTTTTATGTTGATTTATTCAAGTGATGAATAACGTGTACAGATTTAT